AAACTATGGAATAATTTAAGTGCGGACATAAAAAATAGTATTAGAATTGGCGAGTTTAAACATAAATATAAAAGGTATGTGTCAATCAAGATATATGCAAGAACAGCTTTAATGATTAATCAGGTGGAACATTTTGGTGTGGTGTAAGAATATTAACACTTTGTAATAATTCTTTAGTATATTACTTGTGTGGTGTAGAAGAGAATTATCTATGTAGAGATACTGCTTGCAAACCAGTGATGGTAAGATGATGTCATGGGGTAGGACTGGATAAGTCTGACTTCTTCCTACTCCATTCAAGCATGTACTAGGTATAAGCAAATTGATATTGGATTAGCATTTGTTGGATAAGTGTAAAATTATGTGTGTTGACATATCAACTGTCTTTACATGCTTGAAAGAATAAGTCAAATCAAATCAAAATCAAAACAAATCAAATCAAAATCAGCTTGCTGTGTTCCTGCATTGCAGTTACTGCAGCTGTAACTTGTGCTTTCAGTTGAGCTCAGCAGTGAGCTGTCAAAATGAAAGGCAATCACAAGGAAATCCCACCATGTTTCTGGTGAGGTTAAACATTTTTATTATTTTACAATGAACCAGTTGCATTTGTCAGGCAACATTCTTTCTGGAGGTTTCACAGCCTCCAGAGTTTATAAGTTTGCATCACTAGATGCCAACTGCAAAAATCATTTGTGACTTTACTGATAAAAATATGTCAGGGCTTATGAGCAGAGCTTTTTCCTACACTCTACTCTACTTGGACTGAACTGACTGAATTATGCTGGACTGAGCCCTACCTCAAAACATTTTGTGAAATGTTCACCAAGTTTTAACACAGAAACACACAGACATTTACCACCATGAACGGACTGTGACATGACAAAATAAAAGTAGAAGCTTGACAAAAGTCATTTGCTGAAGTTGTAGGTACTTGGTTTCACTATGAAAGGGTTTGTACTCTGACTTTCAATTTTAGTGACGCTAGTTCACTTTTCTAACCAAATCAACCTCTGGGTTATGTTTTTGTCTGTGTTTGTATGTTTATTAGTTAATAGCATAACTCCAAAAATAATGAACAGATTTTGATGCTATTCTTTATTTATTTGTAGAGGAAAAATATGGCCCACAGATTGATTAGACATATCATAATTTGTATACAGAAAGTTTTTTATTATTATTTTATTATTACCCATTATCTGAGAAGGCTAGCTCTATTAGCAGGCAGCTGCGCATTACAGTTGCGTTTCCACTGTTGGAACCTACAGAGTGCTACATCCCGTGCTTCCCTTAACCAGGATATGTAAGAAACAATATTACTCTAAAGTATTAGAGGATAATAAAAATAACATGAAAGGTACTTGGAATATATTAAATAAATTGATTAGAAACAGTACCAGCAAGAGTAACTACCCTCTATATTTTAATGACAGTGATACACCGGTCAACAGATTTGAGGATGTAGTTGAGAAGTTTAATAGGTTTTTTGTGAATGTGGGTCCTGGTTTAGCAAGTAGCATTTGTACAGACGTCA